ATATATACAAGTATGCAAATATGCTCAAAAACACAAAAGAGGGAGTAATAACACTGACCCAAATGGGTCCGTGCTCTGCTCACCTCTTCTACTTTGCTGGCCTCGTGTGTAGAGGCGTCACTCACCTGTTCTTGCGCAGCGTCTCTCTGTGCATCCCTCAGCTCCCTGCGTAGCGAGAGGTTTTCCCTTTGGAGCTGGGCCACTTGTACCTGCAGCCCTTCTGCCTCCTGCGTGGCCTCTTTCTACACGCCAGGCTCGTCTACATTTAGAGAACACATATTGGAAACCAGAGTGAGACAAGTCCTCTTTGCCCAGAGCCCTTTCCCAATCACCGTGCTGCCAGAGACCACCGTAGCACCCACCTGCTCTCCCCAGCGGGGTGCCACCCTGCCCAACGCCCGCAGCTCCTGCTGGGTCCTCCTGCTCCCCGGGGCCCCCAGGCCATGTGTCGGGGCGGTGCCTGGAGGGACAGAAAGCACAACCCGTCGTAGGCACTGCCAGTCGCGGCGGCCAGGGCCTGTCCTTACCCGTCCTGGGGAGCCAGTACCCGCAGGCACAAAGCTGAGCCCTGGGCAGGAGAAGATCCGAGAGCTCCCCAAGGAGTGCCTGCTGCCTGTCTCACCGACAAGGCACAGGTTATTTCCCTCCTGGCCATGCTGTGTTTTCAAAGGGACATTTGCAACATCAAGGCCTTTGGCCTGCACAGATTTCTGCTGGTGCTGAGGGCTTTGACAGAGAGAGGAGCTAATTACATCCCACAGCAATTAGAAGCCAATTGGGTTCCCCAATGGGTTTTGTCATGTTCTGCCAAAACCATCTTCCATAACAATTTCGAGAGTTTTACTATCCTCCCATCAAGGAGATATACCCAACCAGTAGCTTGTTTCTGTCTTTCTTGTTCTTTGATTAAAATTTGGTCCAATTTATTATATTTGGCTTCCTCTGGCTTTAATTTAGGCCTTCTTATTTTACCATCTGGTATTAAAGTAACAGCTGCCCTAGTTTCTGTCTCCTCAGCCACCCTTTTTGCTTCTTGATCTGCCAAGTTATTTCCTTATTCTTGATCAGTGTTACCTTTCTGATGCCCATTATTGCACCCTTTTTGGGTAGTCTTACAGCTTCCAAAAGTCTCAATACCTTTTCTGAATGCTTTATTGATTGGCCTTGGGTTGTCAAAAGTCCTCTTTCTTTCCAAATGGCCCCATGGGCATGCACAACCCCAAAGGCATACTTAGGATCACTCCGGAGGTTAATTCTCATTCTCTTAGCTGACTCCAAAGCTCTGACCAATGCCATTATTTC